TCAGGCTGGCCTTGAGCTCACTTTGTAGCCCAGGCTGGTCTTGAACTCACAACGATCCTCCTGCCTCAGCCTCCCGAGTGCTGGGATTACAGGCGTGCCTACCACACCCAGCCCGATGACATCGGTTTTACAGATGCAGTAACTCAGACCTCCGTGGAAGTTACACTGGGCTGCAGCTATAACTTGGTGTAGAGCATTAGTCTAGCATGTGTGGGGCCCTGGGTTGGGTCCCAGTAAACACATGGACACACACGTGAGAGGGAGAAAAAGAGGAAGGAGATTAAGCAACCAGATATTACACAGCTTGGTTTATGTTCAACTCTGCCGTTTACACTATGACCTCAGACAGTTTATTTAAGTTCTCTTAGTCCTTTATTTCTCCATTCATGTAAGCGAGATTTCAAGTGAACCTACATCTTACAGTTATTGTAAAAGAAGCCAAAAGTACATGTACATGAAGAGCTTACTAGCATAAGCCTAGCTTGCGAAGGGCTTGAGACACTGATGACAGCCCCTATGCTTGCTTTGTGTGTGTGGGTGTTGTTAAATACCATGGCAGGCAGCTGTTGGCAGCAGAGCACAGCAGGGCACGGTTTCAACCCCTGCACTCTGGGAGGCTGAGGCAGAAGGATCAAAGGTTTGAGCCCACCCCGGGCAATTTAGGGGTTGAGTAAAGGCCCTGTCTCGAAATTTAAAACAGTTCTGGGAGAATAACTGGGTTTAATCCCCACTACCATACACACATGCATACACACACACACACACACACACACACACACACACACACACATATACGGAGCCTGGAAGAGAGTGTGACTTTAAAATGTCCATGTAGAATATGTTAAACGCTCCTAATTTAAGGTATTTTTAGGAACCTCAAGTGTATAAAACCATACATTATACCACTGTGTCAAAAGCTAATCATCCTGCACCAAGCCATTCCCGTGATGGCCACCTTTCCCAAGCTCGCCGGTATCCTTCATATGCTAGTGTTACTTCTAATTCATGTAGAGGTGAGCAGCTGATAAAGCATCATGAACATCACAGGAATCCTGCAAGGTAAGTGCCAATGGTATTCCAGCTTCACAAATTAGGATACAGATGTTCAGAAAGATAAATCACATCCACCCCAAGAAGGACCGCTTCCCAGGGCTGGGTGCTTTCCCCAGACTAGTGAAACTCTGGTCAACCTAGTGGGTTAAAACATTCCAGTTTTATTTTATTCTATTTTATTTTATTTTATTTTATTTTATTTTATTTTATTTTATTTTATTTT